CGTTTATAACTCGAAAATTATTGGTGCCTCGACATTTCCGCCGAGAAAAAATCGTCCCCAAGTAACCCCCGAGGAATTTCTCTATTAACAGAGTGTCCAATAATTTTGGGACGTTATGTATAATAATAATACACGATATTTGCGAGAAAAGCGCGATTAACGTCGCCCTGTAAATATTGTATGCCGCGTCGAAGGGGATGGATATCTCGGAGAGATCCATTTTAATCTTTTTTGTATTTCTTTGGGCGCGTGGCCCGACAAAAGCACGAGAGGAACCCATGTAAGTGAACGAAAGCGAGAGCCCACTTCGAGAGGTGTTTTGGATTTGCCAGGTGCGAAGAAACACGCGCGCGCGCGACCAGTATTTCTTCTATACTCCCGAGTGTTTCTCGTTGGTCAGGAATTGGAGGAAGAAGGAGGAGGCAGAGGATCCCTTCGGAGGATTACAATCGGTCATTCAATTTTCACACTACCTACGTATTCGATGATTCGAAGCCGTACTCCAGAAAAGTGAATATTACCAATCTTACAAGAAGAGAGTCCATTCCAAAGGCAGAAGATTTGTCTTTGCTCTCGTATTAATGCGCCGTTTCTAATTTTTAGATAAAAAGTAACACACATTTATATATATAAATGTGTTATTTTTGAAATATATTTTTGATATTTTAATGTAATTAATATATCTAATATATATATTTATTATTTAATAATATATTGAATATATTGAATATTTAAACTATTACGTTATTATTATAAATTGTATTATAAATACTTAATATTTAAATATATATATATATATATACTTTTGGTTTTAATGTTGACAAACGCATCGTTTATGCAAAATATTTGACCGCATAATTTGAATATAAATTAAACAAAGACCCGCTGCCTTACGCACGACATGTCGGCTTTATGCAGGGTGAAAAAGAATCGGCTTTATTTTCTCCTATCGGCGAGATAACGAGGCATGGACCCGGAGTGACACCTGAGGTGCCCAGGGCACGGCACGTTACGAGGGTTGCCGTGCCAGACATCCATCATTTCTTTGTATAGCTGCCCCGTGACACCTGGTTCTGTGTCGCCCGCACGTCTCCACCGTAAACCCCTACGATTCCTTTTTAACCTTCCTTCTACGGTGGTTGCCTATCCGAAAACTATACAGTGCAGTTGGAGTCTTAACGATTCGCGTAATTATACTTTTTTTCTCGGATTTATGCACGATTAAGGGGATCCTAAACGTCTGTTGTTTTTTTCCCTGTTTTATCGACAAAATGTGAGGTTAGATAAACTATAAATCGCTATTCTCGTTTACTAGGCTTCCAAATTGATATCTAAACATTCACTTATATTCCTTTATCCAATGCCAAATCCGCCCTGGTTTAATTTCAGGTAAAAACAATCCGTATAGCCAATAAATAAATTTATAGTTTATCTAACCTCACATTTTATCGATAAAACAGGGGAAAACAACAGACTTCTCAAGGAAATTTAGGATCCCCTTAAATAACTGATCAAAAATTCAATACATTTCGATTTTCGAGGTATGATACTTATGATATAAATTTGTAACAGGGCTAAGTTCGCGTCAAAAATAAATGGGTCATTTGCGAGACGTATTCGATGAATGCAATCTCATTTTTGGCCAAAGTCATCTCGCTGAAAGTCTCTAGAGATAGATTACTTGCTTCGATGGTTTCAAAAAAAAGAAGAAGGCAAAGGTGGAGCGGTCGTTTCCTTTACTCCATTTTAACCTTCGGTCCCTTCATTGAGAAGGATCGCTAAATCCAGGTGTCCCCGGTGGACACCTTCGGCTGCGTCGTCCTCGGGGGACCTTCATATTTCACTCATCTCGTCAATGGACCTGGAAGGTAGCCAGGGAAACCCGCAGGTGTGCGGGTTTTCGTGACGGATTTCTCTCGTGCAAATAAAGAGAATGCACGGAAAAGAACTAAAAGCGTAGGCAGCGGAACGAATTTTCAAATCTGGACCGACGACTCTCTGAAAGTCCGCTCCGGACCGATTAGGTACATCTATTGCGAAAGGGTTTGACACGCGACTGACGTCGGCGAAACACACAGGAGCTTATTGTCATTTCGGCGCCGGAGCGCCTTAGCTACCTTGGAGAAAAGTTTTATTTAATAGAAAGTTGAGGTTTTTTTTGAGCACGAAAATCGAGCAGGTCGCACAACTTTGTTTTAAGCGACAACGTCAAAGAATACGGAACAAATGTCCCATTAATTCCTGATTATATAAATCTATTGGATAATTAATAATAGTTTATTAATAATTATTAATTCATTTTTTATATAAAAGATTTTTATATAAAAATAAATTTTTTAGCACACAATGCTACTAACTAAGATATGGAAGTTCGAGGCGCGACATGTGTCACATCGTGGGACGCAAACAAGAATGAATATTAAACAGAATTTAATTACTATTATTATCGAACTCGCCGAATCACTTCGGCGGACGTCTTTCGGGAGAATATCGATCGGTCGACACCTTTGGCTGCCCGACCCGACGACATATAAGCCCCGGCATCGCTTCGGGGGAGGATGCTTCGAGGGAATTCGTCGATAGCCACCGACAGAGGGAGGCGGCACCTCTCATTAATAACCGGTGACTCGGCGTTTATATAAATAATCCTACGCGGTCGCAGGCACTCACCTGCGATTCGGTCGATCGCTCACTATCCTGACGTGAAAGGAGCTTCCTTCCCCATCCCTTCGGCCGATTCATCCACCGCCTCCTTCGACCTTTTTCGCTCGCTCGCGTGTCTATTCTCTCTTTTTCTATTTGTCCCTCATTTTCCTTCCTCGGGTTGCCACCACCTCCTTCCTTCTCTCTCTCTCTTTCTCTCGTACAGACTCCTCAATCGGAATTCCGAAAGGCACTAGAGCAAGGCACTTCTCTAGTCACTGCCAAGTGTATGAATGCCTGCCTGCGACGTCCGGTCATTTATTTCGGCAGCACATTCTACACTTAGAATGTCGACACTAATGCTCCAAATAATGCTCCAGAATGCGTGCACGCAATTTACATTTCGGTTGCAAGTCGAGAAAAATTAGTACCGTTTTAATGGTTAATTATATCTATGTGTTCTCTCTGACACGTGCGCGTTGACATTCTTTAAAGGAAATATTTTTCTCAATAATTAATATATAGAATCTGACTTTGGTGTTTCTTGTACTTTTTTCTATCTATTTTTTCAAAAAGAATTAATGCTCCAGAATCAAGATATGTATACATGCATTTTTAATAGTAATTTGTCGGAAAAAATCAATATATATAATTTTGAAGGTTAATTATAGCTATGTATTTTCTAAAATTCTTTAAAGAAAATATTTTTTGAAAATAATTTATAATCTGATTTTGGTGTTTCTTGTACTTTTTTCTATTAAGTTTTTTAAAAATGAATGCCCCAAAATCAAGATGTGCATGCATGCATTTTATATTTTTTAAATATTTAATAATTTGTAAATATTTGATTAAATATTTTTTTAAAATAATTTATAGTCTGATTTTGGTGTTTCTCGTACATTTTTTCTACAAATATTTTAAAAGAATTAATACTTCAGAATTGAAGCATTTATGCATTTTTATTGAGAAAAATCAATATAAATTCCGATGAGCATATAAAATTCTTTTTAAAATTAGAAAAAAATTTGTAAATTAGAGTTCGATTTTGGCGTTTCTCGTATATTTTTTCAATTTTTTTTTTATAATTTGCTTAATATCCTCTTTTGGCAATTGCTCGGATTCTGAATTGCGTCATCGAGAAGGATAACGTAACTACTTTGTAAGTTGCGAAGATCGGGAGGGCGGAACGTTACGGAATTCCGAAAGTGCGAAAAGAGACATTAAAACTATTTTCCGTGGCATGATGCGTCTTCATAACGGCGTAATAAAAGTTTCCATTCTTGTAAATGGGTAAACTTTATTCGCGAGAAGAACGGGATACGGTCTCCCTTTAGTATATATTTTCCCCGTTTCGCGCATATACTTTGAATGACGTAATTATTTGTCCGCTTTTTATGTGAGGTGCGAGAAAGGCTGATTAACGCGAAAGAATTTTGAAACACATAAGGGCAAAAGTTCATTACACAAGAAAAAAATACGATCGAATTGCACGGAGATTTTTTATTCGATTTTCAGTACAAAACTAATTAAAAAATTAAATTCTATTAAATCGCCAAATATGTAAATTAACGATTAAATAAGTTTGTAGGCTGTCACTGTATATTTTCAGCATTTCTAATATGTATAATTATGGTATTAATTGCAAATGAAATTTTTTATTCAAGATGGATATATTCTCTATTTAGCCTTCATTTATTTTAAATTTAATATATTAAAATATTCGAGCTTTTTCAATTTATTCTAATTTTTTCATACATAAATGAATTTTTTACGCACAAACTTAATTTTGTATACACAAATAAGATTTTTCGCGCGCAGTATCATCATGAATCTCAACATTTGACGTATTTATACCTTTATATTATTATATCGCAACTTGTCTTCCGAAACCGCGCTTCTTTGTATATGACTTCGCATTCGATTTCATTCACGCCGTCGTTTCTTGTAGGAGAAGGAGGAAGGAAAGATGCGAGGGGTCGATCGTATCGTAAAATATTTAACGAGGTAGTTTGGCGAGATGTCTTTGTAAACGGTTTGAATATCGCAATAAAATAGTGTGTATGTGTGTATATATCGGCGCTTATATATAAATTCAACGAGTTTCCGTCGTCGGCTCGTTTCTTGCTTTTTCGCTGCCTCGCCTTCGCTCGTTCGCGGTTGCCTGCGAAAGTCCATAAAAGATACGATCGAAGCATAACGCGGATAATTTCTCTTAATGCCCGGGCATGATGCTTAATTTCTGTTCCCGTCGTCGTATCCCTGTTCTTCCCCTTTCGCCCATTCTTCTCACATATATATGTGTACGAAATATCTCAACGATCGTTACTTTCATACGCAATTTCTCTCTATTGTTTCAGACGGATCTGGATCCTCTTCCTATCTCGAATTCTGATCTACGCTGAAGGTGAGTAATGAAAAATTATTCCTACGCATAGTTGAAAAATTTCTGTTAAATTTAACATAATATGGATATGTGTTAAATGGGGACACAAATATTGTCTTAATATTTTATCACAAAATAAAATGCAAAACTTCAAATCATTTAAAATAAATTTTGTGTAAATTAACATATACTTTTAATGTACAAATTAACAAAAAAATGTTAATTTTAGATTTTATCATCCCTACTTATATTGTATATAAATAGAAAAAATAATTTATTGTGTAAAATTAAAAATAGATGCACGTTATTATTTTTACATTTTTTCATGAATGTGTTAAATATTTAACACAAAAATTTCAACGGGGACTGTTTTTAACGAGAAAACACAAATTTTTCTACTATGTATATATCGAGACAAATCTCTAGATCGATGTATAAGATTGAAGTGTCGCTGAAGAATGATTATTATTTTTAAAATAATAAATAAATAAATAAATTTTTAAAATTATAATGAAGATTTTTATTATTTATAAAATAATGATAAAAATATAATTTAGTTTATCGTTTAAAATAAAAATATATAATTAATTGCGGAATTAATTTTGAATCCGAATGTTTTTCTTTCACACGCATCGTGTGTTCATCTTATACGAAGAAGTAGAGATTTGTATGCATGGATGATTTCGCGAGTGCTCATATCCTCCTTTTATTCGTAAATATCATACGTGAAGGAGTGCGTGACAATACCTTTTATGACTGCCAAAGAGGCTAGATCAAGGATTCGCTTCGATTGAGCGAATCATGAATTCAGGATTTTTCGTGTGCAATTTCGCATTCCTTATCCATTTCTTTTTAATTGATTAACTTTCTTCTTTTAAATTATTAATAAAAAAAATTAATTAAAGCAAGCCGTATCATTATAGTTTATTTGAAAATTGTGGGGGGCGAAAAGAATATATAAAAGAAAAAAAATTGAATTTTCTTTGCTCTTTTCTTCCCGTTGAAAAAAAAAATATATATATATCTTCTTCTATCGCATCGATTTACGATACATGACCTTTATAACTGAGAGATCACTTTGATTGAGCGAATCATGAATTCAGAATTTTGAATGCAATTTTGTTAAATTAATTTTCTTTTTTTAAATGTGAAATTAATAAATAATAAATTAACAAAAGCAAGCAATATCATTATAGTTAATTGAATGATAAATGTACAATTATAGGATGTACACATTTTTATTATTATCGTGTAATTTTACATTTAATTGTTTATATAATTTTACATTTCTTTATGTAATATATTACATATTTTTTTACACTGAAAAAATTTGTTAACTTGACCTTTCAACTATATATTATTTTGTTAATTGAACGTATAAAAAATTTAAATTAAATATAAGATATTAAATTTGACAAAAACATATATTTGACTGAAAATATATAACATATACTAATGTATGTTGATTTAACAAAATAGTAATTTAGTTGAAAGGTTTCCCATACAGCACAAAATATTATGAATGTTTTTAAAAAATATTTCTAAATATTTCTATAAAATATTGCATAAAAACATTTGAAAATAGTTTTAAGAATATTTTAAAATAATTAAAAAATTTTTTAGAACATATTTTAAAAAACTTAAAAGATATTTTTAAAAATATTTTTTTTTATCGCTCGAATAATATTTTCTTAAATATTTGATACATATTTTTGAAATATTAGTTTAAATCTATATATTCAAAAATATTTTAGAGAATTATTTTATCCTTTAAGAAATATTAAAAAAAAATTTTTTAATATTTTGTGCTGTATAAATTAGTCATGTTAACAATTTTTTTTTCAGTGCACGGTGCATTTAATTAAAAACATCTATCATTGAAATATTTAAAAATTGTGGCGGGTGAAAATAATCTGAAAGAAAAATGATCGACTTTTCTTTGCTCTTTTTTTCCCTTCGACAAAATACAATATATTGAGCTTGAAAATCTTCTATCGCATCGATTCGCGATGCATGAAGAAAGAAAACGAGAAGGTGGTAGAAAGAGGTTGTCGGGGGGAGGGAGGGCTGGCAGGAAGGCGACAGAGGGAGGAGGAGGGAGGGGCACACTCCGAGGGTGGAAGAGCATCCCTCTTGATGGCGTCACCTCGAGGGCCCAATTAGCGCCGGCACGAGTGTCATTTCGTCGCGGTTTCCGCATACACCGCCTGTCGTTGACTGGCGTTTTCTGCCAGGTTTCGCTTCTTCCACGTAGCCAGAGTTATATACGTATATCTATATACAGCGTGCATGATGAGACAGCTGCATCTCGCTGAGCCCCCCCATAAAGGGGGGCCAGAGTTCTCTTCTTCCGCGGAAATCTTCTTCCTCCTTTATTCACCTCCTGTGTTATCCAATTTTCTAACAGATATTTCGCGATACAATAATTGGACATTCAGCGCGAAAAGCGCCATTCTTCTTCATCCCGGACTCGAATTATATTATCCCGAAGAGAAGGCACCGCGATATCCCGGGATCGCTATCAATGGGAAACATTTTCCATCGGAAAACATGTCGGGATAGAATGTGTTTGTGTGTTTTATCTCTTTCTCTCTTTTTTTTCGCTACTTTTCGCTTCTTGCCCCCTTCCGCTCTATCTTCTTTCCTTTCATCCGCGCGCTCGGGGTTCCTCGGTTATTTCCATAACGACACTTCATGCAACGTTAATTATTGTCGGCGTAATGAGCTCGAGGAAGTCTTCCAAGATGCGGCCTCGCCGCATTTCCACTTTCCTCCTCCTCCTCTTTGCTTATTCCTCCCTCTCTCTCTCTCTTTCTTCTCCTGCTGTAGTTAGCAGCGCTGGAGTGTCAAAGGGCTCTCTCTCTCTCTCTCCCTTCATTCTCGGGATGGATACCTCGCGAATCTCCGCATCACCGCGCACTTCCACGGAGCTGATCTCGTTAAGAGACTCGGGGTTTCGCTCACGCCACGCCCGCTTGCGCCTTGTTAGCGCGTCTCGGGAGTTGATCTCCATTTTTCCTCGCCAGGATTAGGCGGATCGCAAGAACGCGAACGTTAATGTTTCTCTTTGCGGTGACGTTGTTTAAGGGGATCCTAAACGCCCTGGAGAAGTCTGTTGCTTTTCCCTGTTTTATCGACAAAATGTGAGGTTAGATAAACTATAAATCTATTTATTGGCTATACGGATTGTTTTTTACCTTAAATTAGACCAGGCTGAATTTGACACTGGATAAAGGAATATAAGTGAATGTTTAGATGTCAATTTGGAAGCCTAGTAAACGAGAATAGCTCAGCCTACATTTTCGTGCACACACGAAATCTAATCTCACATTTTGTCGATAAAACAGGAAAAAACAACAGACTTCTCAAGGATGTTTAGGATCTCCTTAAGGGGGCAATTTTAGGATAGACTCCTACGCATAATTCATTTTTTTATACACTCTCTCTCTCTTTTCCTTCATTCTCGAGATGGATACCTCGCGAATCTCCGCATCACCGCGCACTTCCACGGAGCTGATGTCGTTAAGAAACTCGGGGTTTCGCTCACGCCACGCCCGCTTGCGCCTTGTTAGCGCGTCTCGGGAGTTGATCTCCATTTTTCCTCGCCAGGATTAGGCGGATCGCAAGAACGCGAACGTTAATGTTTCTCTTTGCGGTGACGTTGTTTAAGGGGATCCTAAACGCCCTGGAAAAGTCTGTTGCTTTTCCCTGTTTTATCGACAAAATGTGAGGTTAGATAAACTATAAATCTATTTTTGGCTATACGGATTGTTTTTTACCTTAAATTAGACCAGGCTGAATTTGACACTGGATAAAGGAATATAAGTGAATGTTTAGATGTCAATTTGGAAGCCTAGTAAACGAGAATAGCTCAGCCTACATTTTCGTGCACACACGAAATCTAACCTCACATTTTGTCGATAAAACAGGAAAAAACAACAGACTTCTCAAGGATGTTTAGGATCTCCTTAAGGGGGCAATTTTAGGATAGACTCCTACGCATAATTCATTTTTTTATACACGAATTTTCGTCCGAAACTTTAGTCGCGATAGTTTATATATATAGTCAGTGTTGTACTTAGATGACTTTAAAATTAATTAAGAGATGAAACAAAAATATATAAATGTTTAGCTTACAAGGGAATATTATTAGATAGGATAAAGATAATTTAGTTTTAAATATATTTAGATAAAAGGAGTAAAATTATATAGTAATTCACATCTAGATAATTTTTAGATAATATTATTTTTAAGATCGCTTATGTAAATACTGTTATAGAAAAATGTAAATTATAAAAGGGATATGAAATATAAAAATATATTCATACTGTACTTTTATTTACAAGTTTTATTCGCTTTCTACTTAAGTTTTACTATACTTATTGTTAAGTATTTTTATGTGCTATATGACTCTCAGTCAAATTATCTGAATATTATTCTAGATAATTTAATAAAAAGAACACTTATTTTTGCATTTAAGATGTAATTATAGATAATACATATTTATATTATCTATATAAAGATAAGATGACGCTAAAATTTCAACTAGATGCTCATCTGTATAATTTTATTTAGACAACAGCAAACACTTTATAGTTAACGAATTCATAAATTGCGCCGCACGTTTTACAAAGTTACTAAATATTTCATCGCAAAATTGCTCGCGTCCCAAAGTTCGCGGAGAGAGGAGCGAGATAATTTCTGGGTGGCGCGAGTTTACGCGTTTGTTTTCGCCGTCATACCCCGAAGATGAACGAACGCGAAAAGCCTGGTAAAAACAGGACGAAGTAGTAGTCCGTAGAATGGGGGAACCGCATACAATACCGTCGTTAGGCCCGACGGCAACTCTTTCCCGCTATATAGGTACCGTGTATCGAGTGTCATTCAATTGCGCATCCCAATTAAATAACAGGCAAAAGGGCGACATAGCGTCGCGAAGCGCGTCTCGACGCCCGCCCTAATTGTGAGTTTGTAGAAGCTTAAAGCATTCACGAACGAAAATGAGGGAAAGAGAAAGGGAA